CTCCGTGGTGTAGTAGTTCCCTCACAGGCTGATGTTATGAGGGCCTCACGTGGTGTAATGTTCCCTCACAGATGGTGTTATGCAGGGCCTCCGCGTGGTGTAGTAATTCCCTCACAGATGGTGTTATAGGGGGCCTCCGCGTGGTGTAATAATTCCCTCACAGATGGTGTTATGAGGGGCCTCCGTGGTGTAGTAATTCCCTCACAGATGGTATTATGCGGGGCCTCACGTGGTGTAGTAGTTCCCTCACAGATGATGGTGTTATGAGGGCCTCCGCGTGGTGTAGTAATTCCCTCACAGATGGTGTTATCACCGAGGCCTCCGTGGTGTAGTAATTCCCTCTGAGCGGTGTTATATGAGTGAGTGTAGTCCCAGGCCTTCCTATGCGTAAGCGGATGCTGCCGCCTCGCTGGTTGTTGGGTCTCCACGGACCGTATCACTGGGTACCTGGTACCTCACTGTGAAGGTGCTTAGAGTGCGACTATTTACTGTTGATTTCTCACTGACTTAAGCACTATTTCCTCACAAACAACACTGGTTCCATTCCTTTCCTAAATGAAATAGTAACTTCTGGTAGTAGCTTGTTGATATTCGATTGGGAGGAGGAGTTCAGGGAGGGAGTTGGTATGAGCCAACTTAACAGTTAGCCTGGCTGCTCGAGAGGCGCCAAGAATGCGTCTTGACTGCCGGTAGTGAGAGATATATATATATATATATATATATATATATATATATATATATATATATATATATATATATATATATATAGCCCATGTAATAACATGTATGTATGTATGTATGTATGTATGTATGTGTGTGTGTGTGTGTGTGTGTGTGTGTGTGTGTGTGTGTGTGTGTGTGTGTGTGTGTGTGTGTGTGTGTGTGTGTTATATATTATATATATATATATATATATATATATATATATATATATATATATACATATACACATATATATATATATACATATATATACACACAGGTTGTACCTCTCTAGCCCGGCAACCACGGGACCTGGCCGGTGCCGGACTATGGAAATTCACCCTTTTCCTGGATAGATAGTGACTTGTGTTTACGCTTGGAAGCACTAGCACCACTTTCTCTGCTTCATGGTCTCTTTGAAGACATATTGAAGGGTTAAATGTCGTACAGTAGCTTCTCAAATTTCGCGAGTTTTTAATTCAACATTTTTTATTGGAACAAAAAAAAAAAAAAAAAAAAATGACGGAGGAAACTCGAATTTCGACGGGTTTGAACGGCTCACCAACTTTCAGACGTGTACAATTGTATAAACAGGGTCACTTCTGTTATGTACAAATGATTCATTATTGTTTATTACTGAATGTCTTTTTGATTGAATTAATGTTTGTGTGTGCAAAATGAGCAATACAATTCATTAATAATACGTAGAATATTAAAACACATGAGGAGACGAGACGGCATTGTTTTTGTTGTTTACAAAACCAATGACTGACTGGTTCTACATATAAAACTGAAGAAAATAAGACCCTGATTGTAGCTGCAGTAAAATTAATGTAAAAAAATTAATATGGCTGTTTGAAGTAATGTTATTTAATGTTAATAAATGGAACAATATATGTAAGTTGCTAACCATTAATGGTAAAGAAAAAAAGTGAGACTGCGCGTATGTAAGTGTGCACATGTGAAAACATATTGTCATTACTCTCTACATAAGAATGTGAAAGCAACACTTATTTACTGCTCATATATATATTGAAGGGTTAAATGTTGTACTCTGTATAGACAAGCAGAGAGAGAGAGAGAGAGATAGAGAGAGCAGCCGAACTGCCGGATGTAAACAAACCTTAATTTCCCGTGGCTTTGTTGTTGTTCTTTTTACGGGGATTAGCCCACCTGGGCATAGGTCACTGACCCACATTGTGGCCTGAGGGGCGAAAATTTAATACTCCCGTAATAATAATAATAATTCAGATAAGTTATATATATATATTTATGTAAAAAAAAAAAAAAAAAAAAACCTGCCTATCTACCTATTGGGCAAACTAAAATCGTTCCGGACCTCGGGAGTTTCCTGACCACAGAATGCCGGACTAGAGAGGTACAACCTGTATAGTGATTTAAGGGAGATTCAGGGGAATTTTAGGAGTGTTTCTGACTTCATGCATTTTTGGCTTTACTTTGTATGTATTTTTCTGTGAGCTGGAACCAATTACCCAATATCCCATTGAAATAATGGATTCGGTTAACGAACGACTCTGTTGAACAAATTGTGTTCGTTAACTGAATATTTCGTTAACCGAAACTATTGTTTCAATGGGATTCTGGGTAATTGGTTCCAGCTCACCAAAAATTACATACAAATTAAAAATAAACACAGTAAAGTACACTTACTTTGAGGTGTGCATGTAGAAGGCTCCTGGTTGATGATGATGATGGGAATTAGAAGTGGGGGTGGAGGAGAAGGGAGAAGAGAAGGCATTGGGGTGGAAGAGAAGTCACCCCATGCTTCATTCTGCCATTTCACCTATAAAATTTTAGTTCACTTGGTGTAACTCAAGATTATTTTCTTTAAATCAACACTGTACTGCATTATATATTGTCAATATGAAAAATAAACTTCAGAATGACCAACAATTGTACTGTAAAAATGTAAAAATAATTTATGTTGAAGGGTGTCTCAAGCAGGATGCTTCCTCCACTGAGCAAGGACACAAACTGACGCCATTGTGGGTGAGTCAAGTGGCTGTTTGACGCGCTAAAAACTAGTTCCCTGTACTACAATTATGTTAAATAATTGTTAAAATGACTAAAAATTTTAATATAAGACTTGGAAAATTATTGAATAGTACAACCTTCTTGATATTTACTCAAATGGTAACGAATTTAAACCCTAAAACCGATTACTGTATTGGCAGACCAAGACTCCAGCTGGTGAGTAGGCGAAAACATGTTGGGAAAAATTCGTAAGGAATTCGTTAACCGAATTTTTGTTCATTAACCAAATTGAATATTCTTATGGAAGGTAATTCGTTAACTGAAATTTCGTTAACCGAGGGATCACTGTATACATAATTTTCTATGTTGTACGACAAAATTTATTTTAAGAAGGGCAAATTATCAAACTTTATAAATGAACAAATCAATAGTTCTTTAAATAAATTAAAATTAATTAGGAAAAAACAAGACAAAATATATGTATTCTTGTTATTTTTAGCAATAAAAATTTTCTTGTTATTTTAAGTAATAAAAATTATACTGTTACTGTAACTGCTACTTGGAACAGAATTCAATAAAAATTTAATCTAGCTTTACTTGAAATTTATGAAAACCAATATATATATATATATACAGTATTACCCCGCTTTACACGGTTTCACTTTACGCGCTTTCTCATATACGCGGTGCCTCGCCAGAACCGAACTTTCACTTTCCACGGTTCATCTACCCATATACGCGTGAAGAATAATTTTTTTTTTATTTAGCTCATAAAATTCATACACATTACCCAGTCAGAATATAGTTTACATTGCTGGAATTCTTACAATATGATGATCATTTTGAATATAAACATCATGGATTTTGCATTAGACATACAAATTTTAGATCTTATGTAATAATTTGGTTTACACAAAGCAAATATTTTATCCTTTGTGCAGAATATATGAAGTTTACATTCAAAATATTCCCTGACCTGCAAGGAATCCAGAAATGTCAATTATATTATCCTAACTTTAGTCTGAGTTATTATTTATTACTAAAAATGTAAATATACTATTTTCTCCCAATCACTTCTCTGGTTGGTAGGGAGGGAGGGAGGGAGGGAGGGAGGGACCGACCCAGCTAGGGCGGAGTATTTTGATTGACAGATAGTGTCCTTGAAGAATATTTCTTTGTTTATTTACTGAAGATATATGTTTTAGCTCATAAAATTCATACAAATTACCCGGCCAGAATATAATTTACATTGCTGGAATTCTTACAACATGATGATCATTTTGAATATAAACATCATGGATTTTGCATTAGACATACAAATTTTAGATCTAAAGTAATAATTTGGTTTACACAAAGCAAATATTTTATCTTTTGTGCAAAATATATGAAGTTTACATTCAAAATATTCCCTGACCTGCAAGGAATCCAGAAATGTCAATTATATTATCCTAACTTTAGTCTGAGGTATTATTTATTACTAAACGTTAAAATCTAGAGTTTTCACCCAAACATTAATCAGAGAGGTAGGAGCTAGTGAGCTGGGAAGAGGGGGGAGGGGGGATTTGAGTCCATTATTTGAATGGACATTAACCTGGCGACTGTATTTCTCTTAAATATTAATTGTGTGAGCATACCATCATAAAATTTAAATGTTATTTTTACTACAACATAGGTAATGTGTCGGAAAAAGTGGAGTTTGGGGGTCGGGCCAGTCTCTATTGGAATTAATCCCATATGTTCTGTTGTTCACTTTATGCGGTTTTCACTTTCCGCGGTACCCTGTGGGTTCAATTGACCGCGTAAATCGGGGTACTACTGTATATATATAATGTTACATAAATTTATTTGTCAGTGGCCCAAGGTTAAAAATGCTTTTAAAACCTTGGAGCTAAATGTAGGATAGATATTTAGTGGGTCCCATATTTTTGACCTGACTTAACTTGACTAATCAAGTCACCCTTTCTCTTAAGCTCCTCAACGTGTGTGTTGGTGTGCGGATTAGTGGATGTCATGATTATGACCTGACCTCATGTTTAATAAGGTCACCCTGAATATTTAAGACTCTGTCTGTCCATGTAATTCAGTTGCCTCTGAAGATGTCTTGAATAATGACGAAAGCTAAGGTGCTCCATTGTGTCCCTTTTCCATGTGTGATTTTATCAAGATACAGGTATATATATATATATATATATATATATATATATATATATATATATATATATATATATATATATATATATATATATATATATATATATATATATATATATATATATATATATATACACACACAAATGACTTACTTATTTCATCCATAATGACTACATTGTCCATGGCAACATTCACACTAAAGTTGTTCCACTCATCAAATGGTGTCAACTTCCTGAAAAGAGTGTTTACATGTTATTTCATTTAGCAGTCCCTAAAATACTAAAATCTTATACTATTGATGCTTATGAATCTTCTTCCTTTAAGTGCTGCATTGCCTAGTAAATAAATCTATGTAAATTCCTCTAAATGCACAAATAATAATAATAATAATAATAATAATAATAATAATAATAATAATAATAATAATAATATTAATAATAATAATAACAACAACAATAATAATAATAATAATAATAATAATAATAATAATAATAATAATAATAATAATAATGGTTGTCCCTCGTGTAACGAGGATGGCTGGCCCAAGGGTCACCAAGGCATGAATTTGTTTGAGGTGTAGAAGCTGTTACCAACATAACCACATCCTGAGTTAGCGAGCTCCATGACCCAGTGTCAAGGAATAGTCCGAGAAGACCGGACAACTCGCCAACTGCACTGGCTAACCATTACCCCAGAATACGATTTGCAAATCGATTAACATCCAGGTCCCCAATTACTGCTGGGTAGACACAAGCAAATGGCATAATGACTCTTGCCCACAGTTTCACCCTGCCAGGGGATCAAACCTGGGTCTGCTCGCTTGTGAGAGGAGCATACTGACCATTACACCACAGGTTGCCTCAAAAAATACATACAGTACAGTAAAACCTCGATTAACCGACCACATATGGGGGGAAGGGGCCGACGGATAATCCGAAAGGCCGGTGAATAGTACGTAAAGTCTACGGAAATAAAACATAAATTTTCAAAGTACCTTTCCCTAACCTACCTCATTTAATTCCCTCTATTCATTTTTGTTCATTTGCCATTCATATTTCAATAGAATTTGCTTTAAAACATTAACCACTTTAGTAAATAAATATGAACCAGCACAGAAACCGTAAATAAAAAATGGAAAAGTCAAAGAACATATGTCATCTCAAAAATTGTGACCAAGTTCCAGGTTGTTGATCTGACTTTCTACCTCATATACACACAATTGCAGGGTCTCAATTGCTTCTCTTACTATTAACAACACAACATACGTATATTGTTTCTCACTCTTGACCTTTTTTTTCATTTTTGCATTTATTTATGGTTCTTAATTACTATTATTATTATCATTATCATTATTAATATTATTACATTATCGCCCCCCAAGCCCCGATGTGGGTCAGTGACCTGTGCCGGGTGGGCTAATCCAAAAAAAAAAAAAAAAAAATATATATATATATATTAGGAGTTCGGGATTGACGGTTAATCCGATAGTCGGTTAATCGAGGGTCGGTTAATTGAGGTTTTACTGTATATGCATGTGTGCGCACACACACATATAGTACAATACTCACATGCATGAATGCATACACATTCCTTTCCCTCACGGTGACTTGGTATTATCATTGTATTAATGCTGTTACATTTCACCAAAGGAAACTTTCATATCTTCATGTCCATTTCCTCTATTGGCCAAATCTTGGACACAAGAACACTGACTGATATACTAACTATGATGATGGAGCACCTTTCAACTATTGTACTGTAAATATTTACACATATCTCAAAACCTTATTTAAAATAAAACAAAGCAAAAAGTTCTATTACATTAACTGGATCATGTGAAGATTAGTCTTCAGGTCATTTATCTGATGATTAAGCTAACACCCTACTGTTATAAGGGGAGGGGGGGGGTCTGGTTTGGTTTGCAGTAGGGTGGTTAATAAGGTGAAATAATCTGGAGTGCCACTATTCATGTGATCCCATTAATTACCCGAATGCCCCTTCATTAATCTTGTAAACTTACCTAATAACCTGAGCAACAGTATTTGGGCCGTACCACTCTCCAATTGGTTTACCCTCATCCACTCCCAGTTGCGAAATGATATGGAGAGAGAAAGTCGCACATTTGTGGTCTTCAAACATGCCCATTATCCTTAAGTATTCTTCATTGGATGTGGAAGCTGTCCAGATCCAGTCTCTACCTGTGGAATAGATAAAATATCAATAACTGATCAACTCAAGAACCACCCAAATGTTGTTATATCTAATACAGTATCTGTATTTGCTTATCATCCAAATTTTACCATTAAAAGGAAAAACTCTATACATTTTCCAATTACTGGGTTGTCTTTCAAGTCAAACAAATCTATGGTGGGATTGACCAAGGGACTACATATACCTAAACACAGCATAGGGCTGCCAGGTGTCCAGTACTGTATATACAGGATTGTCTCTTATTTCACTGCATTGACTCGTTGTCACGGAAAGATGTGTCGGGGCGCATCACTGTCCTGGATGTGAGTGGCCCTGATATGTTCACTTGAAAAAATTTCCTTGTCTATGAGTTCAATGCCTCATACAAATACAACTATAAAAATGAATGTTTGTTCTCAATTTTAAATTTTTTGTGCACAGTTCTTATCCCACTTCACAAAACAATGTAATACAGTATCGTGTTTATCTGTGCTGAGTCGTGGCAGCGAGCTTTGTGTGTTGTAAAGTTTGCATCTTAGGAGACACTGGGCATGAACCAAAGTCCGAGGTGTATGATTACAGTGGACTGATCCATACACTGAAGACTGCTGGCTAATTGTGGCTACTTTTGCACTATGCTTGATGCTTTAAATAAACAATTTCGACAGAAAAGGGGGAGTGAGGCTGATTTTGTTTACATAGCATAAAAATTACTGCAAGCATTACTGTATCTTCATGGGAAAGTATGTGGCAGGGAGATTCTTGAAACACAGCTGAGCATTTGTACTTTATTTGAGGAACTTTGTGTTCCCACTTATAAGACCAAAGACGGACTGCCGTGTTTAGGGGCGTGGAAGCCAGCAATTGTCACACGTTTGTGTTTTAGAGCTCTGACAGTTTGACCTTCGTCCCTCCTGTGAGCAAGGGGTTATTGAGTAGAATATTGGGATGTTTGTTTTACACAATTATTGGTGTTATAACAATCTGACCAAGAATGGAAGAGAAGTTAGTCCAGAGAGAAATATAATTTTAAAACAATTATATACTGTAGACGGATTTTGATCTTTACTTTAAACTATCATTTCCATAAATCTTTTTCATTCTCCAAATAAAAATTAACAATCATCTTTTTATCTTTCTCACCCCCTCCAAAAATAATGTCCCATATTTTGAAACCAAGAATCTGGCAACCCTATCTAAGTAGCCCCTTTGTTCATGAACAGGGGATTAGCTCACCCGAGCACAGGTCACTGACCTGCATCAGGGCCTGGGGGGCGAAAATATAATAATAATAATAATAATAATAATAATAATAATAATAATAATAATAATAATAATAATAATAATAACAACAACAACAACAATAATAATCATTAATAAAAATAGATAAATATTAAAAAAATAAAATAATTAAATAATAATGTTAACCATAAATAAATACAAAAACGAAATAATGAATCAAGAGTGAGAATCAATATACAGTATGTTGCATTGTCAAAACTAAGAGAAACAATTGAAAACTGCAATTGGGTGTAAATGAGGCACAAAGTCAGTTCAGCAGCCAGTGGAGAGGAAAAAAAATAAATAAAAAAAAAATAAATAAATAAATAAATTATATATATATATATATATATATATATATATATATATATATATATATATATATATATATATATATATATATATATATATATATATATATATATATATATATATATATATATATATACATGGTAATATTGAGGAGGCATTATCCCAGTCAATGCAATGCTTGTTATCCCTCAAATGAACAAACAGAGCATTGGATTCCTGGCCTGTCCTAACACTGTATTTGTGTTGTTTAATTCTAGTTGCAAGATCTTTACCTGTCTGGCCTAAGTAAAACATATTACATTCCTTGCAAGGAACTTTATAAATGCAACCAATTGTGTTGTTGGGGGAGTTCTTGATTACCATTTGTTTAACAGTGCATGAGTTTTTAAATGCCACATTGACGTTCCAGGTTTTTAGTTGTGAAGGAATGTGTGAGAAATTTTTGTGAAATGGTAATATTAAGATATTCTTATGGTCATGGGTGGGCTTGGGATCAGTTCTATAAAAAGTTTTCTTAGTAATGTTTAGGCATTTGTCTATGAAAGATCTAGGGTATTTAAGGTTTGAGCCAATATTATATATATATTTGTATTCCTCATCAATGAATTCCGGACTGCAAATTCTCAAGGCACGTAAAAACATTGTTGAAAATACTGACTGTTTGACTTTATTATGGTGGGCAGAATAATAATGAATGTATGAACACACATTAGTTGGTTTTCTATAAATACTGAACTTAAAAGTGTTACCTATTCTGTGTATCAGACAGTCTAGGAATGGCAATTTACAGTCTTGCTCTAATTCCACAGTGAATTTGATCGAGGGGGCTAAGTTGTTAAGTTGTGGCAGGAAAGCTTTTAGGTCCTCATTACATGGCCAGAGACATAATACATCATCAACATATCTAAACCCTGCTGAGTGGTATATTACTTATATATGCATATATATATATATATATATATATATATATATATATATATATATATATATATATATATATATATATATATATATATATATATATATATATATATATATATATATATATATATATATAGTATATGTATGTGTGGAGTATGCTATAACGAATCTAATTGGTTCCAGAACCTCGTTCGTTATAGGATTAATCCGTTCCAGGCCCCCAAATACAACCACTTAACACCGAAAAAATTCTGTGGCAAATGTAAAAAATACGGTACTTTATCTTACCTAAGTGTTGTTAGTATGCAGGACAGGAGGCAGAGGGGGAGGGGGGAGGAGAGAATTATGGAGAAGAGGTGGAAGGAGAAGAGTCATCCTTCCTAGCCCTCTTTGGTGACTGTCTCACAGGCACTTTGTCTGTAGGGTCTTTTGTTACCTTTGTAAAGAAGGAATCCAGGGTTGGCTGCTTCAACCTTGATTTCTGGACCTTCCAAAAGTAGTTCATAACATTGTCATTAAACACACTGATGGCCTTTTGCACAGAACCAACATCAGGATGATAATCCTCAGCAAGTTTGGACAGTTTGCTCCAGCAAAAGAACGCATCCTTGAGATCTTTGACTGGAATGATGCGGCTTTCCCCCTTGTCCTCCTCCTCCCCTGACTCCTCAAAAGTTAAGCTTCGCTTCAGTGTCTCGTTTTGTTCTTTGTGAAGCTCAAGCAGCTCCTCAGTGGACCGTTCCTTACTGTGCTCTTCCACCAACTCCTCAACATCATCATCATCCACTTCCAGGCCCATGGAATTGCCCAGAGACACAATTTCATGAACAACAGCCTCTTCTTCTAACTCTTCGAAGCCTTCAAAGTCTCTTTGAAGCACACATTCAGGCCACAATGGCCTCCAAGCAGCACAAAGACACCTCACAGTAACCTCTTTCCAGGCTGAGGTAATTAAAAAAACAGCATCTGCTATATTGAAGTGACTTCCAAAATTCCTTCAAGCTAACATCACTGGAAGAAGTGGACACAAAACATTTTCTAAACAGTGCCTTTGTGTATAGCTTCTTAAAATTAGAAATTACCTGTTGATCCATGGGCTGGATGAGAGGTGTTGTGTTGGGTGGCAAGAAGTGCACAGTGATGAAGTTGAACTCCTCTGGCAATTCAACCATCAAATTAGGAGGGTGGGCTGGTGTATTGTCCATCACCAACAAAGCTTTCAGTGGAAGATTATTCTCCCTGAGGTATTCCCGAACACTGGGTCCAAACACCTCAATCACCCACTCAGAGAATAAATTCCTGGTCACCCAAGCCTTTGGGTTTGACTGCCACATAAAACCAAGGAGGGTCTTCCTAATGCTTTTGAAAGCTCTGGGGTTTTCTGCATGGTACACAAGGAGTGGCTTTATTTTGCAGTCACCAGAAGCATTAGCACAAAGAAGGAGGGTAAGCCTGTCTTTCATTGGCTTATGGCCAGGGACAGAAGTTTCCTCCTTGGTAATGTATGTACGGTGAGGCATTTTTTTCCAAAAAAGTCCAGTTTCATCACAGTTGAATACCTGCCGAGAAACAAAGCCTCCCTCTTTAATAACATTAAAAAAAATGTCATGGTGTTCCTTAGCTGCTTCCTTATCTGCACTAGCAGCATCACCATGTCTCACAACACTGTAATTTATTTCTCCTTCTGAAACCAGTAAACCACCCCTTGGTACCCCTAAACACTGGCACATCACTATCACTTGCACTGGGAGTCTTGGCTTTAAGGTCCTCAAACAATTGTCTGGCCTTCTCACAAATTATAGCTTCACTAATGCTATCACCTGCCATTTCTTTCTCCTTTATCCACACTAAGAGTAAATTTTCCGTCTTCTCAATCACATTACACCTTGCTTTGCTAAGTCTAGAGATTCCCTTAGCCACTTGCACAGTTTTCAACTCCTCTTTATTCTTTAAAATCGTACATATAGTCGATTTAGCCAACCCATACTCATCACTAAGTTTCGCAATGCTTGTTCCATCCTAACGTTTCTTTATGATTTCTTTCTTAGTTTCAAGAGTTATGAGCTTTCTCACTCGCTTTGGATGATTCATTGTCACAATTGTACACTTGTATAACAAAATATTTATACAAATAACTCTATTTCCACATCAAAAGAAGAAATTTCAACAATAACTGTGGTGCACTGGTTGCACAATGAGACAAAGATGGCGCCTGACGCTCTTGTTGTGGGTCGCGGTACAACAATATTCATGCACCAGGCGAAATAGTCCCGTATTCATCCGCGTTCGTTGTAGGAGTTGCGTTTGTTATAGCATTCTCAATTTTATAGGTAAAACCGTTCGTTATAGGAATATTCGTAGTAGGATCCGTTCGTTATAGCATACCCCACTGTGTGTGTGTGTGTGTGTGTATATATATATATATATATATATATATATATATATATATATATATATATATATATATATATATATATATATATATATATATATA